CAAAATAGTCTTGTAACTTCTTATTTAATCTGGACCTGCTGACACGAAAGCATTTTATGTGTCTGATCATTTGGATAGAAAACCACAGCTGGCTGAAAGTGAAGTTGTATTATTCAGGGGATCAGATCGTATTTTAAAACTCACATTGCTTATTGTATAGCTCAGCTCAGGTGACAGACACTTATAATTTATACTAAAGAATTTGTAAGGATTGTTGTACAATACGCGTGAGCACTATTGCTGTTTTTTTTATTGGTAAGATTGCTATCTTTCCTCCAAAGATTTTTCTTGTGAGCTGGGTGTCTGACACATGCAGAAACCCATCACCATTCTTCAAAGCATTTCACATGCACACACCACCTACACACGGAAATTTCACATTTGTGTGGAATGGAGTCCACACTCTCTCCCTGCAGGGACGCACCCTACTCGCCTCATTCCGGAAAATATTAGGTGCAGGTTCACAAGTACCAAGACCCAGAGACTCCAGAATATGTGTTGGGATCATTGCTGAACTATAATCTGCATAACTTGCCATTTGAGGGCACTTTCTGGCAAGCTGCATATCCAGCAAAAAACACACGTAACTGTTGCTTGCAGGGTTAACTGAAATAAGAGGGAAGAATCCCTGCCCTCAATGACCACTCTGCCTCCCCCAAGTCCTGCCAACAACAACGTGCATTTAGTAGTGTCCTTCGCATGGGGCAGCACCAGGCTGGCTAGTCTGTCTACCATCAGCAGTGCCTCTGGAATATTGTAGACCTGTCTGACTGAGAAAACCAACTATTGAGCCTGCTGCCACTGGGGTCAATTTAATTCTATTTAATTGACAAGCACGTTACCTTGGAGGCAGCTCAGCCTCAAGACAGTTAGTCATTAGACCAGATTCACAGGTTCACAAAATGCTGTAAAATGTGTACCTCCACAATTATAAATTATAATTATAAACAATTATAACTATTTATAATTATAATTGTACAGTTGACAAGTCAATTATAAACAAGACCTTCCCACTGTCACCTTAATAACAAATAACAGAAACCCATAGCGCATTTGGGGATTGAAAAATTGAAATGAAATACAGGAGAAGATGCAAACCATGCATCAGTTTAGGTGTTCACAGCCTTCAGCAACATAATGAGAAAAGTCATGATAAGGACACCATTCCTATGCATATTTTGATTTAAATTGGTTCAAATATATTTGTTTGGTTATTTGAGACTGGCAATCAAGAACACTAATGTCATAACAGCCCATAACCTTAGAAGCATGAAGAACATTTGCAACCAGGCACATATGAAATCTAGATGTTAAGTGCCAAACACCTATGTTAATTCAAGAGGCTGGTGATAGAGATTTGAAGCAGTTCTTTCATGAGTGTGAGATCCAGCGACTTTATGCATGCTGCAGGCGGAAGAGACCGTTTATTGTCTCTGCTTTGCACAAGTGCAAAAAAAAGACATTTGAAATTCAGCCACAATTGAGATGATCAGTGCATTCTACAGACAGGTGGTGCCGAGTAAAGCACAAGGTAAATAATTCTACAATTTGAGCTGCTTCCACTGATTATCGGTTGTTATTTCACACTTGAGTTATAGTGGATTTTTGCCTGTGTGAAATTATCCCGTGGGCAGTGATATTACTAATCATGTCCATGGAATAATAATCTGTGGTGCAACGGCTGTAAATGTGTTTGCACATCGGGGGAAGCAAGTGAAGATGGCCTTTTAAGCAGTTCTGAGGGGGAGTGTGTGAAAAGGGGGTTGCTGTGCAGATATTTTGAATAGTGAATGTGTGCTGACAAAGGAATACCAACCAGATTCTTAACCCTCTGAATGCTCAATGCCGTCCTTCACTGTTTTCCTTTTTCAATCATCTATTAGAATTAGAAGTTCTATCCATTTCTGATGCAGAAATTACCCCTGGAAAACACTGCAGAACATTGTACAGTAGAGGTTCGTTCTTCAATCCTGACCCTATGAAATAATTTCCTGAATCAGATTATAAAGAATTCATGGCTTAGTTCAAGGATCCATTGACAGTGAACATTACAGTATGCTTCAACTATTGAACAATTATTTGGCAAATACATTTTTAAAAATGCAGATTTTTAAATATAGAAAATTTCTGAATGATTACAATCCAAAGGGTCAATTGTTATTCTAGGCAGCTAAATGATTTAACATTCAAACCATATCTGAGTTTTCATATGTAGATTAAGCTGTATTCTATTACAATGTCCAATAGCCTGATCTCCCCCAGGTCAGTTCCATTTGGCTATGATGTAAATTCCAAGGTCTGATCTGATTTTCATCCATTTCTAGAAGCGGGTAGCTGACAGCATAATCAACATGATTTTGTATGGGCAACATCCCATTTCAAACAAATGCATTATTCAGCTACAAAGTCACAGAGAAGAAAACACAAGCATAATGAGAAATATTACAATAGCACATTTCACACAAACCATATTTATTCTAAACTTTACACTGAGGCAATCACGTGACCAGCACAGTATCATACAGACATTTCGAAACAACTCAAAATATGTAAACAAAAGAAAATCTGAAAAGAGAAAGTCCAGTTGGTATCTAGCAAACCCATTCTTTTCACAGTTCTTTATTTGATCCCCTAAATTCAACACTTCTTTACTCACTTCTACTTGCGTTTTGCCTTCAAAATATAGTCAATTCAATTTACAGTATATTCTTGAAGCGCTTTGAGATGTCTTGAAGACGTGATAAGGCACTATATCAAATGCAAGGATTATTTACAGCATCAGTTAACCCTAAACCTCTCGCTTCTTTGATTACATTTCATTTGCTGGCTTTTATTGGAAGCTGTTTCATGAGCTCTTTGGTTAACTCCTGATACCTTAGCCAAATGCACAGACACACCATTTTGCCTTGACAGCAGAGCTTGGTGTTAGGCAATTACTAAAGCCCATAGGTAGGCTGAATTTTCTGTTTGATGCTCAATGATGCTATGTTTTCCATTCAGTGTATTGATGCGAAATTAACTCCCATATTCTTAAATAATATAAAAAAAACATTTAGGACCATCTTGTGAATGTTGCACTTTGTGGTAGATATGTTAGGTGACGAATGTCAGCTTGAACACAAAATGGCTCAAAATCGCCATCAAAATATTAGGGAGAGTGTTAGTAAGTACTACCTCTAATACCCCACCTGAGATGGGACTCAGCTGTTATCAGAAGGCCTATGACATAATTTCTGTCCACAAACATAAAAACGACCACAATGGTTCTATTTCTGGGGCTGGAAGCACCGATTCACATATAGATAATTATTATTGGTACTTTTCTTCTGCCACTGCCTTCCTGACTTTCAACAGCTGTCACCACACCCTCTTCAAAAAACATTCTTCAAAACTTTTCAGCTACCATCTCATCTCCAACCTGCTCTTTCTATTCCAAAGTCTTGAAATGTAACACCACTACTGAACTTCATTCACATTTTCCATCCTGCCACAGTACCAGCCAACATCAGCTTGTGTGACAGACAGACTTGATAGAATGAATCTCGCAGTAACTAGGAACCCGGTTGTTAGCTGATTGGCAGATCACTTTTCCCGGGGTAATAATCCCTTAAAAAAGAAAAGGAAATAAATAATAATTTGGTCATTCAATCTACCACTGTTTGTAGGACACTGCTGTGTACAATTGGCTGCCATGTTTCGCCCACAAAATATATAGTTAATTCACTTTACAGTATATTCTGTGAAGCGCTTTGAGACGTCTTGAAGACATGACAAAGTGCTATATCAAATGCAACGATTATTATTTAATGCCTTTGTCATTTCAAGACTCAATTTTCAAATTCCTTCTTTGCTGTCCTCTCCAATTCCATCATCCACAAGTTCCAGCTCATCCACTCTTCCACCCATATTCTTATCTATACAAATCTTCACATCCTTCACCCATCCTCCCTAGACTTCACTGTCTCCCCGTCTCCTAGCGTATTAACCTAACAAGGTTCTTATTCTTCCTTCATATCCTTGCCCTGTGATCTTCCGTGCAACCCCCACCCCAGACCAATGACAGCTGAGCCAAGTCACTACACCCCTAACCTACCCTCTGGAATTCCCTTCCTCAATCCCCTCTATCAGTCTCAACCAGTGGTTGGCCAAAAAATAATCATGGAAATAAGAAAATAGATTCATGCCATAAATCAAGAAACATTTATTTTGTTGGCCAACCAAAGAGGTTGACCACTACAGATCTAAACCAATTAAATACTTACCACTGACTGTGTTTATCATGAGACATTACATGAAAGATGCTGGACAAATGCAAGTTGGTCCGGTGGCAGAGTCCCATCTGATCAACAACAGCATAGAATACAAACTTCCACCAACACTTTTAAAGGATCCACATAGGATCATGGGGATAAGTTTGATGAAATAATTTGAAGAAGAAAGCATGTGTATTACATATGTAAAAACAAGAGGAAAAAAAATAAATACTTAATTACCAGCAGTTTACAGAGAACCCATCTTTGTGGGTTCCATTTACTCTCATTTTATCTTAACTAATTCTCTGATATGAAAAATATTTCTTCCAGTCAATCATGCTCTGTTGGTTTACTCCTTTTACAGGCCCCTCATATTTTGAAGCTGATTCTCCACATTCCCAATTTTGTTCACGTTAGGTGAAGTAGAAACTTCCAACAGCTGCAATTACTTATGAGCAGATGCCATTACTTTTCACACAAAACGAAAATCTGGAACTCTCTCCCCAAAAATGCTGTGGACGCTGGATCCATTCAAATTTTCGATAGATTATTGTTAGGTAAGGATATCAAGGGATATGGGGGCAAAAGCGGGTATTTGGAGTTGAGGTACAGATCAGCCATGATCTAACAGAATGGCTCGAGGGGCTGAATGGCCTACTCCTGTAAATTCGTATGTGCCGAGCAACTCTCCTGCACCCACCCTCTTCCTCAGGAAGTGATTGACACAAAATATTTTAGAAAGCAGTCTTTTTTTGAGAAGTTCATCATTCATTTATTCCAACAGTATCATGAACACAACACAAATGCAACAGTGCTCTGAAATCCAGAAATGATTACTAATATATACAGTCATATATATATATCTCGTGACTCAAGAGAGGCTACAACATCCATTGCTGTCTGAAGAATTATTTGATGTAGAAAGGGGGGGGAAAAAAAATCTTTGGACAATAATGAACTACATTTCTAACTAGTGGTGGATTGCTAATTAATATCCAGTTCCTGCACCCAATTGCCTTAAATTAGCTCTAAATATCCTGAACATCAATATTGAACTTGAATATCCAAAGCCTATTTCATTATATTGTGAATATTGAATACCCATTTTATTCCTTGCAAGATACTGATAGAATTCTAAAGATATTATCACCACGTAAACATTCAGACCATGACCAGAGAACATTTTAAAAAGATGTTAATCCAAATTACTTTCTAGAAATCACTTCCTAGCCATGTAACCCTGCCCGGATACATATGTGAATGTGTCTCTGATGTTTAATTTTGTAATAACAGGGATATGCATATTGATCCCCAAAAGTTAACAGTTCAGAAAGATAGAAAAAGATTACTCACTCAATTAGTTTCATTTTATTCCCATTCTTATCCTTGCTAAGATCCCGCGCCAAGCATCCAGACTCCTGGGCACAGAAACCTCTCCATTACTTTAACCCACTGTAGTATGAAGTGCTACCCAAATTTCCTAACTTCTTTCCTGATTGGCATCTTATCTCTAACTCAATGTTATGCTGAACACCTTGGCCAAGATACTCAATTTGCCTTCAGTTATAGCCAGTAAGGTGCCTGTTATGTTTTGCTTCAGATAGTTATTTTGATAAGCACTACCTATATATCATTGGAAAACATTGAGATTATGCATTTTAAAGACAACTGAGCATCAATCAGAACTAGGTCTTGGATCGTGCTTCATTGCAGAGTTCAGCCATTGCTAGACTGAGAAATGTAGCAGGCTATCTCACAGTGATAAAACAAGATTTTCTTATCTAATATACATTATCTTACTTTAAAAATATATTCAGTTCACCATTTTTCTTTTAAAACAATTATTTGTAGCTTTCAATGAAAAAATGGTGGCATAAAGAGATTTTTTTGGGGAAAAATGAACACAATTAAATAAGGAGGCACTTTAAGAGGAAAGAAATAATTACCAGTGTAATAAGTGCAATAAGGATGAGCGAAATCTCTCTCTATAGAATGGCTTGCTTTATTTAAAATATAACGTTGATTTTAAATGGTTCACACTACTGCAGAGAATAATTTGTGAACAACATTTCAGATTACAGATCTTCAAATTGAAGGGAGTTTCTTACAAAAAAACAGATTATCACCATTTTCCAATGCAGTGTTGCACACTCAAGTGAGGAAAATAGGTCCTGACGAGGAAACACCTGCAGTTGACAAATAAGGACCATAAGCTAGAGAAACATGAAAAGGAACCTTTCAAGACTTGCGAGACTTAGTGCATTCTGTAAACTTTTGGAAAGAAAAGGTTTATTTTTTAGAATTGCGATACTGCCCATAGGTGCATCAAACCACACTTATTGTCTGTCCTGTTAGAATCAGCTGCTCTTTTCTAGCTAGGTTTGCATTTCTAGATCTGTATAGATAGGAGTTCCCACTTAACTGAAAGCTCACCAATACACAACTCAGCTCCTGAACACTAATTCTGGATCATGTGTGCTCACACCAGGAATTTGCACAGCAGAGGAAGTGGCAGTATTTCCAGTGGTCCAGAATCCAGCTTGATTCGGCTTGATCATTGGTGAAGCTGCAAAAACCCATGAGTTATCATCAAATGAATTCTTTCCACAAGAACCAATTTCGTCCAAAGCAGCACTACCAACAGGTGTGGGTCTCCGATTTATCCATGATGAAACAAGCTCTTCGGCAGATAAAACTGCCGTGCCCTGTTGAAACTGGCGAGTCCCGGTAAAGTTGGGTATTTGCACGTGACCACCCTCTGAAGAGCTACGTGATGCTCGATAAACTGCCCCAGTAGAATTAAGCTCCAGTTCGCTGCAGTCACGGACTAAGTCATCCAGACACTGAACTGGACCATGAAGCAAAGCTAAGGAAAAAACAGAGAAATTATATTATAAAACTGTGTAAAGTCAATCTCCTCCAGCACAAGCATCGAGTTTGGCTATTAACCCAAAAGGAATACAAAGGGACACATTGAAGTTCCAACAGCTCTGGAATTTTCCAAATCCCAAGGCAAGGTGCTGGCAGCTTTTCCTTGTGGGAATTAATAACAAAGAACATTTCAAATGTATTAAATATTAAAATAATTTGATTAGGTGATGTTATTTGCAGTTCAACCGCCACGTAACAAATGAGTGAGCTGGTGCAACAATGGGTGCCTATTCCTTCAAGCACAATATAGACAAAATGCAGGAGCCAAAGTCTTGGTCAAGTATCAGCTATCCTCATTATAATCTTACTCTAAACCAACTAGTGGAGGCAGCAACATTGGAAACAAGCGACATTTCAAATGTATTAAACATTCAAATTGTCTGTTTATATTGCATTAGCTCAATGATATAATGAGATGTGCTGCACGAAAATCCAGCATAAATTTGTGTGCGAAGTCTAATCACAGTGTGATTAAGATGAAGCCAGGCTTCCTATTGAGCTTGGAAAAGACAGTGAGTTCTGTTAAATAGAAGCATCAGTAGACAAAGTGTGTTGGTTTCAGTCACTAGGAAGAATCCAAGAAAGTTCTCGATGATCTTCATACCGAGGATGAGTTGATAAAAAGTTTTAAGCAAAAGCTGCTTCAATTGATTAAATCGATATGCACAATGAAAAGAAATGCCCTCCAATTAGAGATAGAAAATGACTGAAAAATTTCAAACTCACTGAAAATGAAACAAATTTAACTGCACAGAAAAAATTTTTTTAAAAAAATTATACTTAATGTAAATAAAGGTATTAAAATCACCATTAGTAGACTCATCGAAGTTTTTCATATTTACAGAAGGAACACTGAGCACTACTGTCAATTTGAGCTAAACAAGGAGTGTGAATCAGAACAAGGTTCTCACACTGGCATGAACCACTTCACCAAGATGGCTCTCGCATAATGTCAGCTTAGTAAAGGAATAAGTTGCAGTTGCATCACAACTACTTCAGCCCTGGATTCAATAGTTTAGATGAATGCTGGTTAGGTTTGTAAGTTTATAATGTGTCTCTCAAGTAGTTACAAGTTGTTGTATCAACATGCTTCAGACTATTCACATATGTATGTCACCCAAAATAAAATGTATGTCTCTCCCTAGAGGGAAGCACCCTGTTTACCTAATTTCCGAGAATATCAGGCGCGGATTGGTGTGAGTCAAGGCTTGGGGACCCCGATGGTGTACTCTGGGGTACTGCTGGAGTGCCATTGAGAGTAATGTCGTCCCACTACTTCACCAGCTAGGATCACCCTACTCATTAGGGCTTTGGGGTGCAGGGTTAACAGGAGTCTAATGGGAAGAATTCTTGCTCCAAAATTTCTGCTCCACCCCCTCTAAGTCCTGCCAATTAATCAAGCTGGTTGGTCTGTGATGAACAGTGCTCTGGAGTACTACTGACTTTCCTGTCCCATGAACTACTGAGACTGCCATAGAGTGCTATTACAACACTCTATTGCCAAGCACCTCACCTTGCAGCCAGCTCAGCTATAAGAAAACCGACCTGTTTACAGCCCTAGGAGTTTAGCTCATTTTTAAAAATACAATGCTCCAAATGTTCCCAAAGCCTCCTTCCCCCGAATCACAATACAAAATTATACTTGTATTACATCTTTCACGTCAGGAGGATGTACCAAGGCGCTGGACAGTTAAGGATTTGGACCCAAGCAGGGAGTTGGACCCAAGCAGGGAGTTGGGATCAGGGGGTGTTGCCGAAGGCACGGCCGAAGAGGAGGGTCTTGAAATGTGCCATGAAAGCGGCAAGGGAGGGAGCAAGGCGAAGGGAATGTGGGATTGAGTTCCTAAGGTTGGGGGCAGAGAAGCTGAAGGCCCAACCGGCGATAGTGGGGCAGGCTGCAGTCTTTTGAGCGGAGGGAGTGGTCAGGTTGATATGGGTTAGCAGGTCACCTCACTTAATGGTGGAGTATTTGTAAGCGGAGGCTGAATGAATGAGAAACAATACAGCAACATAAGATGTGATTCTTTTCAAGACAGAAAACGTAATAAATAATAATCCTTCCATTCAGTACAGAGCATTTCACATCAGGAGGATGTTTCAAAGCGTTTCACAGAATTTACTGTAAAATGTAGTGCTGTTAATTTGTTGTTGTTGGCTGTATTATGTAGGTAAACATGGCAGCCACAAGAATGGAGTTCAGGCTTAAAAATTATCTGCATTATTATTATTACTGTTGTTATTATTATACCACTGCCATCCTACTTAACATTCACAGTAAGAAACTGATTTTCACCCTTTCATGCCTTTTTATGATGGTGCTGAGGAGAAGGATGTGCACAGCCTCTAAAGAACCCCCTCCTTTGCACCCCTTATACAGAGAAATATTTTATAATTCAAAATATTATAGTCTTCATTAAAGATACATCTAAAAATCCAAAATTACAGCAAATATAGAATTAATTCATATTTTTTTCAGTGCTGAACAGAAATAGGCTTCCCAATAATTTAAAGGTTTATACTACAAACCAAAAACCAAAACCAATAATAAATTGGTCATTTTCAATCTACGACTGTTTGTGGGACATTGCTGTGCGCAATTGGCTGCCGCGTTTGCCCACAAATATACAGTCAATTCACTTTACAGTGTGTTCTGTGAAGCGCTTTGGGACGTCCTCCTGACGTGAAAAGCGCTATATCAAATGCAAGGATTATTATTATTATTATTATTACATATACCAAGTGTTACAGGTATCTGGTGAAAAGTGTTTAGCCTTAGATAATGCATGGATGTATATATCGCTGGTTCTGTCAAATAATATAAAATAAATAATAATAATATGGTCACTCAGTCCATGACTGTTTGTGGGACCTGCTATGCACAATTGGCTGATGCGTTTCGCCCACAAAACATAGTCAATTCACTTTACAGTATATCCTGTGAAGCGCTTTGAACATCTAGATGACGTGATAAGGTGCTATATCAAATGCAAGGATTATTATTATTAAATTCAGCTTATTTACATTGCCAAATGGACTTGACCAAACCTACAGCAACAAGAAACTGTAGGAGCAGTTTCACGCTTGAAATTCATTAAGCTTGGTTTTCTGGTCACGCCTTCCCACATTAATGGCCTGCATGTATGGTCTTTTTTCCAGTGTTGTCTAACAAATACATTTTTCAGGTGAAAAGACAGATTTAGTGCAATTAATACAGTACATGACCTGGAGAAGACCGCCCTTCAAAATGGGTCTTCATTAAATAAAAGGAAAAATTGCCCCATTACATCACCATTATTCGTAAAAAGACATCTCTGAGATGTCTCAAAATGCTTCACACGATATCCTGTAAAATGAATTAACTGTATTTTTCTGTGGGCAAAATACAGCAGCTAATTGCGACAGCAGTGTCATACAAACAATAGTGGATTGAGTTACCCAATTTATTATTATTATTTCTTTTGAAGGAATTATTACCCCCGGAAAAACGATCCACCAATCGACTAACATCCGGGTTCCTACTTACTGCTAGGTAAGCAACGGCACGTGGAGTTAGGAAACTTGCCCAATATTTCGCCCTTTTGAGAACATTAAACAAAGTTTCCATTTTTCTGTTCTGGTGGACATTAAAGACTTTTTTTGGCTAACAATCTTCCATATACAAAATAGGTCATCAACTTCATGGCTATTTCTGAGGCAATGCTGTGCGCAAGTGTTCTTCCTCCTGACGTAAAAGACCCTATACAAATGTAATTTGTTGTTGTTGTATTCCCCTGCAAATAGTCACTATACTTTATAGAAAACTCTGTAACGCTTTGAGATGGTTTAATGCAATAAGGTGCTATATTAAATGTAAACACCATTTAAAAGGCTAATGTTAAAAACAAAAATCAAATTCTGATTGCTCTGTAGGTTGAAATGTGGGACGTAAAGGTTGCTGAATAGCTTGGCTGACACCTCAGTGTTACTTGCAAAGGCTACTTGATGTAGTGATGTTTAAACTGTGGAGAAGAAGCCACAAGGGGTACACAAAAAATAGAAACTACAATATGTTTTTGTACATGAGCAACACCTTTTATGTGTGAAGCCAATCAGTATAAAATAGACAGAACCAATATATACAAAAAAGACAGTAGCTTGTGTATTTAGACTTATCAGCTAATCGTGAGATGTTGAGAAGATATCTGATGGCTGCTGTTTTATTGGCATTGATAGGATCAGTGGTTAAAGACAGACCATTTCCCCCTCACACACTACATCTTACCATTCTTGGTTGAACCTTGTGTGGCTAACAGTTTTTGCAGAAGTTCCGCTTGCACTTTTGCCACCATACGTACATTAGACATTTCTTTCTTCAGCTCCTGGTATGCTTTTTGTAGACCAACTTCTCTGAAATAAAAAAAAACATCAGCTCTAGCTCGTCAAAACAAAATGTTTTTAAAATGTGAACAAAATGTTTTTATAACATGAAATAAATGGATGTTTCCGAGTATTGGTAAAGGGAGGGTGAAGGGTTATTGAAAACACGTGACAAAGCCTTATTGTCACAGAATGCAGATCATTCAGTCATACAGCCTCAGAAACAGGCCATTTGATTCATCAAGTTTGTGCTGGTGTTCTCTCCACACAAGGCACCTAATCTGAAAAGAAAATTCCATTCTCCAGCTCGCTCCCCAAACCCCTGACTGTTCTTCTTTCAAGCATCTAATTCTTTTTTTATTGAATTTATGGACACAAAAACATTTATGGCAAAAACATTTCAAACACCCCATATGGGAAGATTTGTTGTTCTAATCTATTGACATGAAGGCATGTTTTTCTAACACAGGAAAATAATTAACTATTCTCTTCTTTCAATAAGTATATTTTCATTATGTTTTAAAACATTACAATCTAACATTGTTTTACTGACTTACTGCCAACAAAATACATGGCAACAAAACACAAGGTAAATCCAAAAAATACTCTTTACAGTAAATCCTGTGAAGTATTTGAAATGTTCTCCCAACGTAAAAGGCGCTGTATCAAATGCAGACCAGTTTCCCCTCACAAATCAAATACTGCTTATTATTAATCATCACTCTTAACTTTTTTTTCCCTGAGACTTGAGGTTTAAAATTGTAGCCAGTGGCTATCATAATCTAAATTACATTGGCCCACGTGGAATCCTGCAGCCTAGCGGTTAGAGAACTCGCCTCGCAAGCGAGAAGACTTGGATTCCTTCCCATGCAGCGCAAAACCATAAGCAAGTTGTTTCCTTACTCCACACGCCTATATTTACCTAGCAGTAAATAGGAACCCGGTTATTGGCGGATCGCTTTCCGGGAGTAATAATCCCTTCAAAAACAATAAATAAATAGTAATAATAATAATTTAGTAATTCAATCCTCGTCTGTTTGCAGGACAATGCTGTGCGCAATTGGTTGCCCCGTTTCACCCACAACATATACAGTCAATTAAATTTACAATATATTCTGTGTTTTGAGACGTTTCAATGACATAATAAGGCGATATATCAAATGCAACAATATATTATTACTATGTTATAAAATTTAGTGTCAAATTGGTTGTTGCATCAGTCCAGTGCTTGCAAATTGAAAGGTGGACATAGAATTCAAAATTAATTCAACATTATGGCCAAGCAGAACCATACTAGAAGGAGCTCTCAAAAATATGAATTGACAAGGCCTACCCTTTCCAGGAAGCTGATTGCTCAAAATCTGTCCTCTCAAATTATTATTGCACTTAAATCTTCAGTTTTAAATTGTTGCGGCTGATGAACAAACTTCCAGTTAGTGATGTCTTAATTTGATATCTTTTGACCCCTGAAAATTCTCTGTATTTAGGCCTAGGACTATAGAATTCATAAATATTGAATTGTTCCTCTTCCAATTCTGTTCTCTCTTTCCCTAAATAAAGTGTGGCACTATCCAAGTAGTCCTCATCCTGGTCAATGTGGAATTAACAGTTAAGTCATTAACTGACTCCCGTTGCTCTAAATTTAGTGCAAAATAACTAACCCTTCCTTCGAATGAGATGTTAAATTGAGGTGGAGTTTAAAATGAGTTATTCCTTCATACACATTTGCGGGACAATGCTGCTGCAAATTGGCTGCTGCTAGAAATATACAACCATTTACAGAAAACTTTGTATGGTGCTTTCATAAGTTTTGATGCGATAAGATGTTATATCAAATGCAAGGATTATTATCATATTAGAATTAGTAACTAGACTTGAATGTGTTCAAATTCAGTTCATTTGGGATCCTAAAATGTAGCTGAGCAATTTTCTGCCCAGTTCAACCATAAGTCAAAAGTTAGTATTTTTCATTCTGAAAGAGGTACTGCATTCTTCACAAGTTATTTTTAAACTGGGGCAAAAAAGGTGATGAATAGTGGTACATTTTTTAAAAAATTCCTTAACCTATTTAGAGCCATTACTTTACAGCTGATAAGATTTAAACAAATTAATTTTGTGATATGTGAGTAAATTGGCTGCTGTGTGTTTACAAAATACAGAGTCATGATACTGCAGTATATCCTGTGAAGCAGTTTGAGATGCTTCCCTTACAATTTAAATGTAAGGATTATTATTATTAGGAGATACACAAGATGGGTCCGAGGGAGTAATTTTCCTTTCCATGAAAAGTTAACTAGTTCTACAACAGCATATCTGAAATTGGTAAATAAATCAGTGCAAATGCTACCCCCAAATAATAAATATTTCCAGATACAAAGTGGGATCTAATTCTGATTCAAGCATTCAAATCAGAGACAAAATTTTGATCTATAGTTCAAAACAAGTGAATATTAGATGTGGACACTAACAACACCACCAAGTTGTCCTCCCAATGTGAAAGCTGCTATATATATATATATATATATAAATAACAACCAGGATATGAGAATGGTGTGTATATGGAACTAGATTTAAAGTAAATGGTTTATTAGATATTGTGCGGATACTAACTTAACTATATACTACAAGATGAAAGGTAACTATATCTGGAGGTTACAGTGTAGCTTAACTTAACTAAAATCAGGGCGTTTTCAGCTCAAAACTGTACACATAAAGTCACCACCTGTCCTGACAAAGAACCATTTTCAAAAGAACAACCACCTTTTTTTCCCAATGCTATCGCTACATCTTCACACTTTCAAGTTTTTTTCTGAGCAATGACTTGACCATACAAAGTTGTTCAGCTGTGCTGGAGCTCCTCCTAGAGGAGACATTTGCAATTTTGATTATACTGAAAATCTGTGGTAATGTTTACACAGACAACAATAAAACAATCTGATACAGCAATACATGTCAAAATGTCTCAAAGCACTTCACGTTATTTACTGTTAAGTAATGACTGTGTGTTTTGGACTTGAACACGGCAGCCAATTTGTACACAACAAGGTCCTACAAGCAGATATGAAGTGAAACACCAATTTTATCTGGAGGATTAATGGCCAGGACACCGGGAGAAACTCCTTTACTCTTTTCAAGTAGTACAATGGGATCTTTAACATGAACCTGAACAGGCAGATTGAACTTTGGTTTAACATCTAATATCATGGGTGATATCTCTGACCATGTAGTGCTTCCCCAGCAATGCAATGTTGATGTTATGGGAGGAAGAAAGGAATGGGTGAAGTCTTGCGTGGAGTGTAAACACCGGCACGGCACAGACTGGATGGGCCAAGTGCTGTGTTTCCGTGCTGTATATTCTTTGTAATCATCTATGTAATGTACTTCTATTATCTATTCTCTCTATTCTCTAAGAAAATGTTGTATTAAAATATCTGATTTAGCAGTCTTTGTTAACATTATTTTCTTTTTCCATCATTGTGCTACAACGCACTTGACCCAATTATAGAATTCCACTGCTCAGGCCTTATTCACTCAAGCATAATACTTTTTAGCATTTATCTTAATTCAAACTGCATTTATAACTAACTTATTCTCTGTAACTATTAATGCTAGTACCAATATTATTCCACTTATGGTTACCGAATGATTGTACTATTCCATAAGTAACAATAATTCCAATCTTGCTGGGGTAAAGGGAGGAGTCACCCGTAGATGGAAGGAATTCAGTTTGTCAGTGCAGAATGGCTGAATGTTAAAGAAGTTTTGCCCGATGGCTTTGGATTTAGGGCATTTCTTTGCAATAGTTTATGTCTGGAATATATGAGTGGATGAGGTCAATGATAGGCTATGTTTTGAGTAGCCTTGGAAGGTGTTGGCTGGGTGGGCTAAATGACTTTAATAGAAGACAACGAGATTCATTTTTCAAGAGATATTCATACATCTTAAAATTCATTGCCCACATAACGCACTATGCAGACGCTGTAATCATCTGATCTGCTTCCTACTGCTGCAAATCTCCCAGTACAACAATTGCCTCCAATCAAAGTCCAAAGCTGTGCATCAGAGCACGTGATTCAAATCCAAGCTGTGTGGGCCACTGTCAGAGCTGCCAAAACCACACCAACATTTACCATTGCTCTCTTTTCTCAGTTAAATCTCAGATTCAGGATCATTGATTGTGGAGGGCAAAGATAATCCCAGGCTCCTCTTCACCACTACCAACCACCTCCTGTCCTGCACCCTCTCCATTCTCACCTCTAACTTCAAATGTGAAGTCATGGACTTCCTGGTGTCCCAAATTGACAAGCTCCACTCAGGTGCTTTTACTTCCTCCCCCTCACTTCCCCTCCTCTACCCCACTTTTGATCCCATCTCCCCCTCTTCCCACATGAAATCCACCACCTTGCCCCCATTCCCACATTGCTTCAGTCCACTCAGCTTCAACTGAGTAGCCAATATCAACATCCCTGTTAGCCAATGTCATCAACCTCCCTTTTTTTTCCTAGAGGAGTACCTTTCATTTCCAAAACTAATGTCATGACCCCCGTTCTCAAAAAATCTTCACTGGACCCCTTCCAGCACTGCAGTTACTGCCCATTCCACCCCACCGTTGGTGAACAAAGCCTTTTGCCCCTTCCCTCCAGAACTCTCTTCTGAAATCCCTCCACCTGGACAATCCCTCTCCATTTTCAAATTCTATCTGAAGATCTATTTCTTTGATTGCTCTGTCAGCTATCTCCTCCCCGCCCTGCTTCCCAGATCAAGTTTCTGCTCAGTCTTAAAGCCCCTGAGATGGTCTCCCAATGTGAAAAGCCTTATAAGCATAAATTGTTGCTCACTGCAAAAAGTGAAGAGGAACACTTTGCACATAGTCAACAGAAAACATCCTCTGCCTTTCATGAACATTCCCCCTTAATTGCTTAAGATATATCTAAGCAATGTTTACAAGTAAGCACTCATAACTGACAAAAAAAAACTTTCCTCATTATACAACACACACTACCAACAAATGTGGTCCACACCTTTTCTTG